CATGGCTTCTCGACCCTCCTGTAGACTGGTTGGGGTGTTCTGAAGCACTGCTACTACTAAACGAACTTGTATTCTGTATAAGATGAGGGAAAAAGAAAAATATTACATAAAAATGACAAATTATACTTGTCAATAAATCATATCCTTCTCCCTCAAGAAAAGTATCATGCTACTTAAGGTCGCCTTCTATTTCTTAAAAGTTAAAACAGTAGCGATGAAAGGGAAAGTAGAGAAAGAAATTAGTCAAACAGCAAAACGCATGCTAACTGGTGTCACCCCCAGCAGAGTATTGTGGACCTGTCTTCCAGTAGACGGGCACTTTTTCCTTAATATCAATGTATTACCTGACCAGATTCTGCTCGTTGTTGTTCCTCTCTCAATTTCTGAACAGCCACCTATTGGGTTCAAATAACAAAGTGATCAAAGAAGTAGTCATAAGAAATAAAGAAAAGAAGAAGGCACACAAGAACCAACCCGTATATTTTCTTTGACAGCTTCATTGCCCGGATCCAATAGCAATGCTGAAAGATTAAAACCCCCAATATGAAATGTTAAATACTACCTTTCTATAAATCTGCTTCCCCATTTTTTGTAACCTATATTAGCTTGGCATTGGCATAGGTACTTCAAAAAGATTCTCTTACTAACCTTTCTTGAATCCTTTCTCAATAGCATCACTGTAGTTCCCTTGTGCATAATAAGCTAATCCCAGACGACTGTATGCCTTGCTATAATTGGGGTCGATTTCAATGGATTTAAGGCAATCTCTGATTGCTTCAGTATATTTGCGCATCTGAGTGTAAGCCGCTGCCCTGAATGTACCTCATATATATCAATTAAAATTTCCAGTTTCAAGAAACAATAAAGCTGGCAATTTGCTGCAACTAGACAAAATGAATCAAAATTTTACCAGAGTGCTTACTAAAATAATACTAACTTGACATCAAACATTTGAAGAATAGTTTATCCATATTGTCTTTGAGAAAACAATAATTGTTTTCCTTCTTTGACAATCCTCGTTACTTTTTATCTTCTTTTGGACAATTGAAATATGTGAAGGATATATGTCACATTATTTTCTCACTGTTCACTATGAAAACTACCATTTCCTAGAATCAAGTAATCTGAAAATGTTGAGAATTTTCTGATGTAGTAATTTGTTGTTTTAACATAAAGATTAATTCACAACAGATATCTTTATGTGCCATTCCTTCTGGGAAAACTGAGAAAAGGTAGAAGACTAAAACTGTAATTGAAAAATTCCTAGTACCAAAACTGTAAGCACAAGTTGGTAGTGCACCTGTTACAGTAGTAAACAGCATTACTTTCACAAAGTGCAATGGCACAGTCATACAACTCAATTGCCTTGGGATAAAGCGTTGATTGCATGGCCTTATTACCTAACAAAATGAAAATCACATAACAGAATTAGCCTCTGCACAGAATGTTGATACTCCGTGTAGAGTGACATATTTAATGAAGCATAAGGTAAGATGCAGAAATTCACCAATGCCTTTGATGCATTTTTTCATTTCCACGGATATGGAAAAAAGATATTGTCATGTATAACAGGACAGTGAGTGAGTGAACTCACAGAGAGATAGAAATGAATTGGCTTTCTGATAAGAAACAAGAATTTCGTGGAAAAGAAAAAAGAAATACAAAACAAGATGGACACGGAGTCCATCAGGAGCAAACACCTAGAAAACCAAAATGAATGAGCTTTAAACCGCATTTCCTCATTTTGACAATGTAAAGTTAGTTCAAAAGTGATATACTAACAACACAACCAAAGCCATATGATCTTTAAATACCTTGTGATTTCAAGGTCTCTGCCAGATTTTTAGGACTGAATTCCCAGCATCCAGATCTTTCCATCTCCTGAAGCAGCAAATGATTTTCTTCTTATTAATAAGACTTTTAAAGGTGAAACAGCAGCAAGAACATTCCATTTAAGCACAATCTTGGGGTTAAACTCCTGGGGAGTACAATATCAATCACAATGAAGATCAAGCAACAAAAGTTCCAAAATGGAAGCAATAATTCAAACGTAAATATAACAAGGGTCATGAACTAAAACCAGAAAGGAAAATGGATAATGTCTAACACAATAGTTTGTGTAGCTGGAAGTTTAAAACCATTTGGATTGATGTTAAACTTCGAGTGAATCAGTTGTCCAATCCCTTCACATCACTCCCAATCCTCAACTCTTAGCTTTCCCCAAGAATCGCAAATCCTGGATGCTATACATCAAGAGTGTGCACCACACACATTGCCTCATGTATAAATGGTGGTTACATTATCAAATCTCACAACAAACTACAGAATCATTGGGAATTACAATACCCTGATCTGATCTGATGTATGGGGCCACACCGATACATTTATCTTTACAATTAAGTGTAAAGTTGGTTTCCCTTACCCAGTTTCATAATTTACTTCTGATATACAGTTTAATCTGCTATTATAATGGGACCTTAGGCCTTCTATTAAAATCCTCTCAATCACAAAAGAGAACATTAACTCTAATCCGATATGTTTCAAATATCTGAATTCAGCAATTTAGCATGTACCTAAGCTGCAAAGCATGACACTCTTTAAAGATGCTAGATGAGGCTAGAGGATAATTCATCGGCAAACCAAATTTAAGCAACATTAATAAAATTATGAGGATGAGGAGGATAAATTTCTAGGATTTATTTTGATGGACATCTTATTCATCCTTCATGTAGATTTTCTCTCTTTTTAACAGAAGTAGTTTTCTATGGTGGAAAAAAATCATGCAACTATAAAGATACATTTTTTTATGGAATTCACATGTAACCCAAAGGAAAAAGGGAGGGGAGAGAGAGAGAGAGAGAGAGAGAGAGAGAGAGAGAGAGAGCATACAGCTAAAGCATCATGGAATAAATTAGTCGCTTTGTCTAATCTGACTGGGTCATCATTACCATCAGGCAAGGTCTTAAAATAGAGACTTCTCTCAAGGGCAGAAAAGAATTGCCCAAAGAGTGCATCTTTGGACTCCCCTGCCAATAACACGATCATCAAATGCAAATTTAACATGCACTTATACTCAATTATTAAAATGCAGAAAGAACTCTAAACTGCAAAAACTTTCATTTCATGCTGTCAATGGTATTCCATTTATAATATGAGATTCATGTGCACATTAAATGAATAGATCAACAAAGTTCAAATCTAATTATACTATTTTTTGTTTCTTTTGAGAAAGATCCTTCTAAAACAACTTAATAATAATCATGTTTGGCATCATCCTCTTACCAGGACATTTTAATTTATAAAATAACAATGTCAACAGCAGCAATTAGAGCATAACTACAATCCAATTCATTAAGGCTAGGCATTTTTGGTCTCGCAAGGCGAGGCATAAGCCCTGTAGTGTTGAGGCGTAAACCCTTCGGGACATAAATTTTTTAAATCAAAATATATAAAGTTAAAACAAAAGTAAAAACAAAGAATGAAAGTATTGGGTCATTTATCAATAAAGAGCACAAAACAGCACCTTCGGTATAGCTACTAAGGATTTGATATAGGATTGAGGCTAGGAGAACCATATACACAAAAAAACATGGGAAAAGATAGAAGAGAGCTACTTACGAGTTGAGCTGGCCTTCTTCAGAGTAGAAAAGAGAAATAGAGAGTGAGGTATGCAGATGGAGTGAACTAGAAATGGAGGCTAGTTCACATCATTTGGGAGAAGAATTAAGGTTTAGAAAACTCAATTAGGGGCTGGGTTGTATTGAGTTGGAGAGGAAGAAGAAGCTGGGTTCATTAATTAGACAAAAAGTTGTGCCTTGAATTTAAAAACCAGCCTTGAATGAAAAAAAAAAAACCATTTTATTGCAAGGATGCCAATGCATGACAAAACGACATTGTTTGTCTAAAACTATCCAAAAAATTAAGGCACAACAAATTGTCTTCTTCTTCACTAACCCCTCAGCCTCCATTCATGCTGCCTCTGCAACTGAGCATGTGCCTAACACCAACTAATAATCAACCGCATACACCTTCCATGAAAAGGGCTAAACAACCCTATCCCTCAAGCAATTCACAAACACCTTGCCCATATGCATGCCTTGAGGTACAGCTCCAAAACTCTTTTGAAAAACACTGGTTCAATCCCTAAAGATGATTTAAATAATTGTTGATGCAACAGATAATGTTCCCTTTAAGGAAATGCACCCAATGACAAGATTCATGTACAAAAGTGGAAGCAAATTAGCCACACTCAATAAATGCTCCAACAAGGCAATGACACATGTAAAGGAAAGTATGAACTACAATTAGAGAAAAAAACAACGATACTGAAAACGTAATACCTAATGCATGGTCTTTACTTGTCAAATCTTCACCCTGATTAAAGTGTAACACGAGACAGAGTCAAACTCAAGACTAAAAATCAAATCTTGTAGTAAAAGCATTATTAAGAAATATCCATGTTCATGCAACTATAAAAGCATAGTTCAATTAATGATCTTAAAGAGAATGAAAATAAACAAAACCATCAAGAAGAATATAAAAGGACATGTTCTCAAATCAGGAAAGAACAGTGGTTTTGTGAATTAATCTGATTTCTAATCTTTTATTAAAAAACCAAACCTAACACAATCATATAAGTCCATTCAAGAATTAACACCACAATGAAACAACCAAATAATACAAAGTTAGTACAAAAGAAATCTCATATTCGCTTCTCCTCATCTGGTCACATATTCCTCTTCTTTTCCTACTGCTACGAGATAGCTTCCAACTTAATTATAACCAACATATACACCCAAGATCTGACCGTTAGCTACATTGCAAATTATAATATTAGTCACTATATCAGTCCTGATATTTAGAGCATATTCCATTTATGTCACTAAATATTCACTTTCCTGCGCTTTTATAACCTTCAACTCGCATAGTCAAAAGATAAAAAAAAAACCCCAACTAGATCCTTTTCCTTCCTTTTCTTCCATTTTCCTGATCACATACTAGTGGTTTAACACTAAGCATCCCTTTACGTCCTCATTTCCTTCCCTTGAAACAAAGGACAAGGCCTACTAGCCCACAGCTCCCATTCATTTATTATACCCAAATCCTAATATCCGACTGTTAGCAAGCTGACATTTTCATTGTCCATATTAACTTACAGATAAATTCAAAATTAATATATTCAATGCATTACACCCACATGATGATTTACATAATAATTATTTAAAATAATGAAGAAGATAACAGCCAAACACCAGAGATTTTGATGCCTTTGAAAGATTGGCATCAGCAGAACCCTGAGCGGCTGATGAACTAGGAGCATCAACTGAGCTCGATCCATGACCATGATCAGAATTATTCTCCTGAAGCTTGTTCAACTCCAGTGAACTAAAAATATCAACCAACGAAACGGGTTTAATCCAATCATCAGTAGCAGGTATATTAAGCTTAAAAGTCTCCTGCAAGCATTCCTTTGCAACCTCAAGGCTTTCAAGATCAACACCAGAAGCTGGTTCAACTGTCCCAAAGGAAACAACCCATAATTGTAATTAAAAAAGCATAATCAACAAGCACATTAAACTGATCCATAAAAAACAAACAAACAAGCAAATTAATGGTATTGAATCAAAAAGAGATATTGAAGAGAGAGGCAGAGAGCTGAACATGCAGCCTAAAAGAATGTAAAGTCTACAGCTTTAAGTATAAAAGTGCATCAATACATGAGGCATTCAAAATCCAAAATAATCAAACAATCAATGCAATTTTCATATCACCACAAAAAGAAAACAAAAAACTATGAAGCAGCTTCAAACCCTAAATATAATTTCACTATATAATCACATTTAACAATTATATAAAGAGAGAGAGAGAGAGAGAGAGAGAGAGAGAGAGAGAGAGAGAGACCTGAGTTGAGGAAATCCAAGAAGGAACGTACGATGCGACGAGAGATGGGAGAATCGGTCTTCAATGGAGCCATGGACAGTGGACTAACGAAGAGAGGTAAGAGGAGGAGTGCGCATGATAAAAACGTGCGCTACCACGGCGTCTGTTAGTCTGGAAGCGACCTAACTTGTCTGAGACTTGCGAGAACTCTCACGACTGACTGACACTTTGGGGCTTTGTTTGGCTACAGGATCTTTGCTGTTCCTTGCTGGTGTTTCGTTTAGGTTCTACATAATTACTCTGATTAGCTTTAACAATACAAAAAAAAAAACAATTAATCTCAATTGTTCGTTTCGTCCGATGTAAGAAACTAATCCTCCGTTCAGAGCGACAATGACGTCACATAAATAAAAGATGGGGGAGATTTTGGAAAAACACAAATGAGAGAGAAATTTTGTAAAAGAAGCCAAAGTGGACAAAATTACCCTTATTTATTTTTGGATTTCGTAAGAAATCTTTTACATTTGCATGTCTTTGATTTGAAAGTTGAGAAGTTTTTCTATCTTTTTTGAAAAATCTTTGGCTTTTTTCAAAAGTGAAAATACTTTTTTGGCTAAAACCTAAATTTACTAAGATGTGAAAATGCTCAACTTCCAAATTTTCACAGAATAAAATGAAGAAATTATTTATGATCCAAACAGTGTGTTTGGATGCAAAAATTTAGAAATATTAAGAGCGGCTATATATTTTAAAAAAAAGGATCCGCCAAGAGCCTGGGCTGCGTATTAAAATAGTACAGCCGAGCGTCTATACTATTTTTTTAAAAATAAGGAAAAAAGTGTAAAGCCGTCCGGCTATACTATTTCTTAAAAAATTCAAAAAAACTCTAGTCTAGCCGACCGGCTATACTATTTATAGACCCGCCCAGAGCTTTATGCAACGTACAGCCGTGCGGCTGTACCATTTTTAACAAAATTTAGCAGAAACGAGTATCGCCGTGCGGCTATACTATTTTTAAAAAAAAATTAGGAAACAAGAGGACGTTCCCAGCGCCTATGTGTCACGTGTTAAAACAATAAAGACGAGCGGCTATACTTTTTTTTTATTTTGAAAACCGTGTATAGCCGCACGGCGATACTATTTATAGCCGTTCGGCTATACTATACAGATCTAGACCCGCTCGGCCACGTGTCAAAACGGTACAGCCGTCCGGCTATACTATTGTAAAAACAACTATGAAATTGTTTCCTAATTGTTTTTTAAAAATAGTATAGCCGGGCGGCTATACCCGTATTTCTAAATATTTTTTAAAAATAGTATAGCCGTTCGGCTTTACCGTTTTGACAAGCGGGGCGTAGGTCTGCATAGTATAGCCGACCGGCTACACTATTTTTAAATTTTTTAAGAAATAGTATAGCCGTTCGGCTATACGCGTTTTACAAAAAAAAGAGTATAGCTGCCATACTCGTTTTCTATCACCGAAGCATTTTGTTCTCCTCTCTCTTCATCAACACTCTCTACTAAACTCTTTTTTTTTATCAGACCAAAAAAACTTCTTGATCTTTCTCTCATTTTGTTCTCCTCAGCAGCACCTCCTGTAGCGTGAACAATTTTCTCTTAATCAATCGCTGATTCTCATTCTCCTTCTTTTTGTTGTTAGAGTTACTGCTGATAAGTTGTTAATTAAGTTATGTTAATCCGTTATTATTTCTCATAACACATTTCCATCACAACAACCACCATTACCAGACAGAGAAAAAACATAGAGAACGAATGAATGTCTATTCTAAATGAAGTGAGAGAACCAAAGCATCAAGATAGATTTTTTTTTTCTTTTTTTGAATTAAAACTCTAATCTCAATTGATTAGAGAAAGATTCTCAAGAACAATTCGATGTTTAACAGAACAACTAAGAATAAGGACTTGTCTACAACACAAACTACAAACTTGACCAGTGAACTTAGAAAAGAGAGGTCCCCTTTCCCTTCTTTTCTCCGCCACCTCTTGATTGGGTGCTGGGCAGTAAGGCTATCATTTCCTTTCTTGTATTGGTGACCTTGTGTAAGGTGTGCTACAGTGCTTGGGAGCTTTCACCATGGTCGCTGCCTCGTCTAGAGATGATTAGCAGAGAACGGTTAGGGAAGAGAGAGTGGAGAGAGAAAAACATTTTAATTTATTTTTCATGTCAAAAAGTCATGTCAGATTTAATCTCATCCATTAAAAGTGAAGTAATCTAATTGCTCAAAAATTATGTCAAAAGTTGTGTATAAAATATGATGTCACAGATCCGCCCCAATGAGAGATTATATTAACAGAGAGTTTCAGTTTATTTTAGGGACATCTTTATAGGCCAACCATGCATTGCATTTCAATAATCCGAACCGTCTAGTTTTTAGATACTATATCAAAGATTATTTATGCAAAAAAAATCACTTGAATCAAAAACCATTTGACTACTCAATTAGATGGTCATTATTATAGTGTTTTCTTGAAGCATCATGTTCGTTTTATTTTGTTGGTGCCAATTTGATATACCTTAATGATTTTCAATTTGCACGAGTTTTTGCAAGAATGATCTATGAATGAATATTTGAAAAATAGATGGTTTAGATCGTTAAAAAAAAAATTTGTAAGGCACCCTAAAAGGTGTCCTTCAAATAAAATTTGAGAGATCCCTTAATAGAAATGAACTGATTATATTAATATGTTGTTTAAGTTTTTTTCCCTCGTCAACCGATAAAAAATATATATTTTTTTTTTCACAGACTAAAAAAAGAAGTGTTTTAAGTCTTTTTCCGGGAAATTGTAGACAATTAAACTAATCGTGTAGAAAAGTACTACTGAAATTGGAAATTTGTGAATGTGATTGCGACTGCAGGCTGCTCTTTAGTTTTTAGTCTTGGTCTTAGTTTTTACTTTTCAGCAAAATAAAACCAAAATTGTTAAGAAACGGACAACTACGGCTACACCAACTTTTTGTTTCTTCTCCGTTTTCTACATCATAACCATTGCCAGGAAATTTAATTGGATGCATAAAACTATTTAGCTGACGTATGTGCTTGCTATATAGCATGGTGACCTAGTAACCATAGCTAAAAAGATAGTTAACAACGTAATTAAGTTAAGAGATCTAATAACGAAAGGGTAAACAAAATTATGATTAATTTTGTATTGAGTTTGAATCCATTATCATATGAGTGTATGGATGAAACTTAACATTCATTCTCAAGTAATTGAGTTTGAATCGTATTATCATTTGATCGCGTATAGCTCACTAAGCTCAATTCTTTGATATTACTTACTCCGTCCTTAGAGAAGTAATTATATAGATTATTATCCAAAACTCCTTCATTACCTTTTTCCTTTTATTTGGTGAACAACATGTTAATGTGGTATAACCTAAATTGGGATGATTTTCTGTGTTTTTGGTGTCTAATTTGACGAGAGCTTAAATTTTGTCTTTATGGATTAAAAAAAAAGTCAGCATGTATGAAAAAATTTGTACCACCATGTCATCCATGCATTTAATCAAAATACTATACTCGTACGAGTCTCACGATTAATTAAACCCTAATGACACAAACCCAACGCTATGCCATAATTAAAAATCACAATAAAACATATGGTGTAGAAAGGAAATACACTCAAATATAGGAGAAATTATAAAATAGTACTGTACTACCACCTCAGCTTATGATACTTCCATTGAAAATATGCCATGTGTCATTTAGGAATAATAATTTTAATTTTTTTTACAGCTGGATTTGGAATCTAATTATTATCTTTTGAATAAAATAAGAAATCAAAAAAAGAAAAAAAGAGTCACCACCCACCTCGACCCCGTCGTCTACCTCGTGCTGCCTTCTTGGCCGATGCCCACTCTCTCTCTCTCTCTCTCTCTCTCTCTCTCTCTCTCAGTGGTCCTTCTCACACACTTCAACCGCTTAATCATTGTTCAATCCTCTTACCCTTTCGATACGAACTTCAACCGCAAGCAAATGAAGCCCCCATCCCCCCTATGCAACTGTATATACACATGCCATGGCACCAATGCTTAGCGATCCAAAGCCATAAACCATCAACATATACCATGGTAGAAGTCAACCCGTCATGCATCCTTTCAGAGGAACACAGGCCCAAACATGTCATCACAGAAGGTGAAGGAATCCCATTGATCGATCTCTCTCCAATAACCAACAGGGAAGGGTTATCAGCTGATCCAAATAAGGCAGTGGAAGACCTTGCTGCTAAGATAGGTGAGGCTTGCAGGACTTGGGGTTTCTTCACTGTGATAAACCATGGCGTGCCTTCGGGCATCCGGAGAAGAATCATGGAGGTGGCACGGGAATTTTTCGCATTGCCGGTAGAGGAGAAGAAGAAAGTGAGCAGAGAGGACCATAACACGGCAGGGTTTCATAACGAGGAGCATAGCAAAGACTTTAAGGATTGGAAAGAGGTTTATGATTTTTATGTTAATGATGGGATGCTAATGCCGGCTTCCCATGAACTTGATGACCCTGAAATTGTTCCATGGTTCACTCCATGGCCTGAGAACCTACCCAAGTTCAGGTAAAAGTACACTAACGATGATGTATAATTCATATTGATAGTCTGACATGTAATTGTCACGATAAAATATCACAGTTCATGATACGTATATAATTCTTGTATAAGAACTAATTCAGATTTTGTGGTTTGTTGAGATCAGGGAGACATGCGCAGAATACGGTCGAGCATGTGAGAAGCTATTCTTCAATTTGTTGGAACTTGTCAGCCTGAGCTTAGGCTTACCCCCCAAGAGGCTGCATGGGTACTTTGAGAATCAAGCAAGCTTTGCCCGACTCAATTACTACCCTCCATGTCCCAAACCGGAGCTTGTTCTTGGCACCGGTGGACACAAAGACCCTAGTGCTCTAACGGTCCTCGCTCAAGAAGATGTCGAAGGCCTCGATGTGCTTCGAAAATCAGACGGAGCGTGGGTTCGTGTCAAGCCTGTCCCGGATTCCTTTGTCATCAATGTTGGCGATGTTCTTCAGGTATTATACAAACAATTACGACTTTGTGTGGATACGACTATCTTTTAACATAGTGGAGCCTGGTTGGATTTTTTTGGCAGGTATGGAGCAATGACCTTTACGAAAGTGTCGAGCATCGGGCCGAGGTGAATGCAGAAACAGAAAGATATTCCATCCCTATATTTTTTCACCCTTCTCATGATGTAACCATGAAGCCGTTGGATGAGTTGGTTGATGAACAAAGCCCGGCCAAGTACCCCGAATACAAGGCAGGGA